CATGAATATAGCACCAGCGGGGCATGACCCCCCACTATTGGTGAGGTGTGAACTCCGTCTTTTCATTATTGCCTATGTTGCAGTTTGATAACGAAACTGGCCCTCCCAAGGCAATCGGATGAAAAAGCCCAAGCACTCAAGCAATCATAAAAGCATCCAGTCAGGGTGAGACGAGAGAGAAATGCTCTCATATGAAAGAAGCAAAGGAAGAGTAACTACCTACCGTCTTCACGTGAAAATCAGGCCCGGGCGTTATATTCTACTTACCCTAAAAATACTTTTAAAAAAGCCACATTTTCTAGGCTACCAGAGTGGCCTGGGACCACTTGCCCGGCCCGGCCAAAAACAAATAAAAAAATTAAAAATTAAAAATTATTTTTCAATTTTAAATTTGGTACAGAATTTCGATGTGACCCTGAGGCAAAAGTTGTTCAGTTTATTTTTCTGCATAACATAGTTTTTGTTTCGAATTTTTTGGATTTGTTTTTTCTATTTTCCTTTGCTGGGACCTTCTCTGGTCCTTGCACGGCCGGGCCGCCCGGGAAAACAGGGTGACCCGGGCGGCCTGGCTAGTAGCCTAGCACATTTTTTATTTTAGTATTTACTAACCTTTTTAAAGTTTTTTTTGAATACGACAAAAAGACAATGCAACTGTTGACATCAGCGGCAGCCCGAAGTACTTGAAGATGTCGCTCATGCAGACCATCGCCAATACAAGGTAAGTGCCCTCACATCATCATCATCATCATCATCCTTCACCTATCCCCTGACTACACCCACACCTGTCCTCTCTTTCACCCGAAGACCACCCCTGCGCTTCACTGTAGTCCAAGCCCACCAGCTATGGTGGCTGGGCTATGGCGCTGCCCTCAGCAGCGCCCTCCTCCTCTGCACGACCGCAGGTGCTGCACCTCGCCTCTCAGCGCCAGCCAGCAGCCGCGAGCCTTTGCTCCAGCAGCGCTGCCGCGAGCCTTTGCTCCAGCAGCGCTGCCGCTAGCATGCGAGTGCCTGAATGAGGCTGCCTGGCCAGAGCTCTTTCCTTTATGGAAAAGAGCTGGCCAGCTCTCGCAGCCTGGCTGGCTGGCCTGGGCCCAGAAGCTTCCGGAAGGCCCCAGGAGGCTGCCTGGATGCTGGGCAGCTACTGGGCTGCAGGGCCTCGTTCGGTTGTCCTAACTGTCTCTGTATGAGGCTGCGAATCACGCCCAGGGCCTGCATTCTTTGGAAAGGCCCGGAGGGCCGTGGAAATGTCTGGGTTGCTCGGCCTGTGTTTCTCTCAACCAACTGGCGCGTCGCAATTGCCTGGACCCCAAATATGAAATTGACAGTCGAGGGCCTTTTGCAAAAAGCCAGGCCCGCCTTCACTTAGGGCGGGCACCTCCGCCTTCACTTAGGGCGGGTAATGCTGCAAACAGGGCCCCATAGGCCTACTGAGGACCTTGATCCTCACACACGGGTACAATGCCTTGTAGGTGGGAGGGACATATGTATACATGGGGTTTGAAAGGGTTTTCAACTCCAATAGGGTGTGCTTTGGTTTGATTTTTCTATTTTACCTGCATAAGGCCCCTGCATCAGGCGCGTGCCCGCCGTCAGTGAAGGCTGGCCCCCTGAATCTCAATGAGCCCTGAACTCGTCAGTTTTTCCAAATCCTGGTGGGCGCCAGACAGTTGCCCCGCGCCAGTTGGTTACATCCACCTTGCTCGCGGAAATATTCGTGAGCCTTCCAGGCTCTTCCGGCAACGTGGTCGAGGCAGGGAACACCGCACGTTTGTGCCTGGGTGGTTGGGCATGCCTAACCAATTCGGTCCCGGGTCACTATCTAAACGAGCCTGAGACGCAAACACTTGGGCCGAAAGTGAAGCTACTGGAAACTCGGTCCAAGAGTGCGAGCAGCGCCCAGCCACTTTCCATATAGGAAAGTGTTGGGCAGCAGTGGAGACTATTCGGGCACTTGGTACCGGCGGCAGCGCTGCTGGAGTGAGTGCTCGCGTGCTGCTGCTGCTGCTGGAGCCAGTGCTTGTGCGCATGCGCGGACGCACAGGGTGAAGGGCACTGCTGAGGGAGCGCCATAGCCAGCCCCCGTAGCCGGGCTTGGCTTCGACATAGCCAGCGGAGCTGGTGTTGGTGAGAGAGAGAGAGAGAGAGAGAGAGAGATGAGGATGATGATGTGAGGGCACACACTTGTTCTTGGCGATTGTCTACAAGGTCGACATCTTCCTGTACTTCGGTTGTTGCTGCTGATGTCAACAGGTTGCATTGTCAATTTGTAGGCTGGTAGTAGCTGTGTGATTGTAGTCTGGGCACGGGGCGCCAAGTAGGAGGAAGGGCTCTAGATACATATGTTGGTGGTGGCGAGAGTATGCTCTTATTGACATTCCGATTCAGTGCTTTGGTTCTCCGTTGGTTGAATGTCAGTGCATTTCTGCTTTCTGGACAACATTGAACTTTCTGGCTTTCAATGTGATTTTGCGTTCTGGAATTCTGTCTTCTCGCTATCAATCATTTTCCTTGATATTTGGTATCAGAGCTGGTTCGAGCCGCTCCGTTGGCTCCTTGGCAATAGCTGTTTGGTGCGTCGCTGGATATGGTGGGGCAGTGATAACGCTTGTGCGTTGGATTTTGTTGGCGGCCCAGTGTCGTGTGGGCGCGCCAGGAAGGCTATGTGGTGACATAGACGACACCAAGTGACGACTCAAGAGGGATACAAGGGGAGGGAAGATTCCAGTCAACTGTTGGATTGTTAATTTTGTATAATTCCATTCTGCATGCACTCTTGCAAATATATATATACTCCCTCTCTGGGCAGCTCTGTTTGACGATATATATATGAAACTCCGACGAAACAGTTTGTCACAGCCCCTCGTTTGTTGTCCTCTTCTCCCTCTCTGCCTACGGTTTACCGGGCAGTTCTATTTGACGATATATATATATGTTTTCCATCTGGTGTGGGTGAGTGATAGTCTACTTTGATTTGGGTTAAGGTAGTCTACTTTGATTTTGGTTAAGGTAGATTATCATTTACAGTGTAATCAGTGAGGGGATTTTGCAGACTGTTGAGGGTTCAGCCTCCTGATGAGTCGGTGAAACTCCGACGAAACAGTTTGTCACAGCCCCTCGTTTGTTTTCCTCTTCTCTTTCTCTGCCTACGGTTTACCGGGCAGTTCTATTTGTGACGATATATATATACATATGGCTTTACAATAATGTCTACCTGCCAACGTTACACAGCACAGCCTCATGACCCATTTACTGACCACATCAAGGTCATACATGCGCATGAGCAAGCTCGTGCTACAAACTTGCGCCATGTGTTACAATTGTCGGATGTAGTTGTATTGCACCCCGACCCTCAAGCATGTTCGTGTATGTGACAAACTGATGCCTCCCACGCGTGTCCAGTTTTGTAACTTCACTGATGTGGCCTTGAGTGTTACTCCTGGCATGAGCTTACCCGACTCCTCTAATTGCGAATGCCCCAGAGCCTTTCCACATTGTTCTGATCTTGTGGATGGCCATATTGTGCCTGATGACACAATATCATCTTCGTTGATTGCCTTCGCAAGCTTTTTCAAGAAGGCTCGAAGTATCGCCTGAATGGGGAAACTACCGATGTGCTCTAGGCACTAGCAATTGGACTAGATGAGTACATTGCCAATTACAAAAGGTTGTTGGCCGGGCATTCTCGATCGGCTTCTTTCTCGTCTCTTTCTCAGAAGCTGAACAGCTGGTGTTTTGCAA